TCCGGCTTTGAAAATCGGTTGTTCTTTGTATATATGCATGTGGAATAAAGTTTGAATCTCTTTGGAAGATCATCGTGTGCTGGTTCTACAGTTTTTATTTCCAGTCTGGGCCCTCCAGAGCTGATGACTCCCAATGGCGTTCGGACAAATAGCCATCGTCCCAGTGCTGTATTAAAATGGCCCCCGGGAGTCAAGTGGTTAAACTGAGGAGACCAGCAGATTTCTGGTGGGGCAACAGATACTTTACTTTACTCAATTCTGCAATTTGTTTAAAAGACTAAGCATGGGGAATGTTGTAATAAAGAGATTTGCTGTATATCTGGTTTTTATTTTGCTCAGTAATAGACTTTAATGAATGTTGTACAGAGGAACACAACTGGGACCCAAAGGGAGTTCTCCTCACTGTACCGAAGAGACCTCTGTGTGCTTCTCAGCATCCGTCCCCAGTGAAGATATCCCGATGTATGAAGAGAGGCCGGGAAAGTATAAAACATCCTTTATAAATCATTATTTATTATCATTGCAGAGGAAATGCTACATTTTGCCACTGTGCCCAGGTGCAATGGTGTCAGTGCATTGAGGAAGTCCATCCTATGGGCATCTTCACTAAGTAAGTTTACAATGTTGTAGATGGATCTGGTTATTAGCAGTGGGATAGAACTTCAATATAGAAATATAGATTTTAATTTTTGACCATAGGGACCTTTTAAAGAAGATAAAAAAGGAATATTTCCTAATGCAGATGTGAGAAGACTGCCATGGGAGCCACCATTGTCTCATATATTGGGCACCTACTAGCTTTAGGCTACTGAGGCTAAACCTATTCAGCTTCTCTGCAGGTGAGATCATTTCCTGATCTTCATATACACAACATTAGAGAGAATGGGGGCTTTTCGCAAGAGGTATTTTGATTGGAAGTAAAGCTCCCTATACTTAAAGCTGAACTCCGGGTACAAAAGCTTTAATTGAAATATATTCTTCAATAGCCACAAAGGATCTAAATCTACTTTGTGGACATTGAATGCCTTTGCCAATGTAGCAGTGACATCATCATTACCATCACTGTACATAGTCTGTGCCAGCAAGTATGTCAATCGACTATTACATAGTTAGTCACATAGTTAGTCAGGCTGAAAAAAGACACAAGTCCATCGAGTTCAACCTATAGAGATACGGAGAAAAAACTAAAAAAGAAAGAGAAGAAAAGTCTAAACAGAACGCTATGCCTACAGCTACCCCCTGTTGATCCAGAGGAAGGCAAAAAAAAAAGCTGAAGAAGTATTTAATAGATTTGCCTTCTCTTTGTCCCCAGTTACCAACTCTGAGTTATCTTTTAAGGGGCCGACATGCTCAGACCTGATTTTTACTATTAATATATTTAAATAATTGTTTTGGGTTAATCTTGCACTTTTTTGCAACCTGTTGTTCGTTTTGAATCTTTGCAAGCTTTATTTCCTTTTTACATATTTTATTATATTCTTTGTAGCTTTCAAATGACAACAGTGTTCCTTCATTTTTTTAAACACCCTTTTCTTATTGTTTATGGCTTTTTTAACATTGGATGTCTGCCACATGGGTTTTACTTTTAGCCTTTTAAACTTATTGCTTACTGGAATATATTTTGCCGTATGGTTGCGAACAATTGTTTTGAAACATTCCAATTTTTGTTCAGTGTTTTTTGATTAAAATATTTCCCCCCAGTTTAAGTCTTCAAGAGCAGCCCTCAGCATGGGAAAATTAGCTCTCCGGAAGTTAAGTGTTAAGTTAAATGAAATCATATTATGGTCACTGCTACCCAGATGTTCTTTTATATGAATATTTCTAATAAGCTTGGCATTGTTTGAGATTACCAGATCCAGCAGAGCATTATTTCTAGTTAGGGATTCTACAAACTGTACCATAAAATTATCATGTAATAAGTTCATAAATGTCCGCCCTTTTACTGTTCCAGCAGTGCCATTATGCCAGTCAATGTCAGGATAGTTAAAATCTCCCATTAATACTACTGTCCCCGCCCTTGCAGCCCTTTCTATTTGTTTAAGGAGCTGAGTCTCTATCTCTTCAGTAACACTGGGGGGCCTGTAACAAACTCCAACAATTACCTTTGCGTTATGCATTCCAGTATACAACTCCACCCATAACGCCTCAGCACCATCACACTCGCCATCAACAAAGTCCTCTTTCACACTCACTTTAAGATCACTTCTCACATAGAGACAAACCCCCGCCACCTTTTCGTTTTACCCTGTCTCTTCGAAAGAGAGTATAACCAGGAATATTAACAGCCCAATCATGTGAAGAACCAAGCCAAGAGTCAGCAATACCAATTATGTCATAGTTCTCCTCATGCACCAAAGCTTCCAGTTCTCCCATTTTGCTATGCAGACTTCTGACATTGGCGAACAAACAATTCAAGCCATTTTTACATTTTATACGTGTAATTGCTTTATCTTTTGCTGTAGTAAAATCAGTACCATCATCTCCAATGTTTGTGTGCAACATGGGAATTTCCTTATCCAGTTTGATTTCCCTCCCCCCATCTTCCCCTGTTCCACCCTCCATTATAGCCTGACCCCTGTTTGACATATCTGCCCCATTATATTCCATCTTTCCCTCCCCCCTGAATCCTAGTTTAAATACTCCTCCAACCTTTCCATGAACATCTCCCCTAGCACAGCAGCCACCCTTCCATTTAGGTGCAGACTGTCATGGATTGGGACTCACAGGTATGAACTGGAGTCATGTATGTGGACCCTTTCCACTACACTGGCGGGGACACTCAGAGAAAAGGGTCCAAGCAGTGTAGGCTGTGGGGGCGTGGAAGTGGTGCCAATTAATACAATATAACGCCACGCCCCTAAACGCGGGGGGGGGGGAAGTTTAACAGCGATCGTGGTGCGTTCCAGCAGCTACCGCTCTGGAACGCACACGCTTACGGTGTGAACAAGGCCTTAGTATTGCACATAAAACATCCCCCCATTAAAAAATACAGTGTTCGGGTTTGGTTTGAAGAAAAGGTGGCAACCCTATAGTGGAAGTCAGCTAAGGCTGGAAGTTCAAATACAAGGCAGGGTGCTGCAATGTGGAGTAGGTGGCATGGGATGCTGAGTAGGTGGCATGGGGTCCCTAGGAGCCAGCCCGTATTCGTCAGAGCTCCTGATGGTGGAGATGGGCTTGGCTGCGTGCTGAACCCAGGTCACAATCCCTAGGTCCACCCAACTCGCATAACAGGTACAGGGTAAAAATCAAAGGTTAGGGACAGCCTGTAGACAGGGATTTCCAAGGACAAGCCAAAGGTTTGGTACACATGAAAACTTCCAGGAATTCTGGGTAAATCACAAATGGGGGACTCGGCAACTAGCTTGGGAAAGCATTGCTCGGGCAGCGTGCCGTTCGCTGCCCTGAGTATAAATAGAGACAGGAAGAGGGAGGATCCACAGGATTGGCTACAAGCAGACTGCACTGATTGGCCAAGAAGCTGCATAAGAAACAGCAGGAGAGGTCGGCCAACGCCTAAAGCTTGCAGACAGGTGCAAGAGTGAGTCAGGTTCAGAGCACACGTCTGGAGGACTACAAGCACCAGCACAGCCCTACATGCCTGCAGAACCAGGGGTAAGAGGTATGTACAGTATATACTTGAAGAACTACAAGTAACAGCTCAGCTGCAAGTCTGCAGCTGAACTGTGACACAGACCATCTTTAGCATATAGGTTGTACCCCAATGAAAAGTCGGCCCAGTGCTCTAGAAACCCAAAGCCTTCCCTCCTACACCAGGTCTTCGGCCATGCGCTTAGTTCTCTAAGCTCCCGCACTATAAAAGCCAAAAGGGAACAGAGCACTACCTCCGTGTGTGGAATTGTTTATTGAAATAGATAAAACAAGGGATATATGTACTCACAAGCAAACGTTTTCATCACGCTTTAACAACAAGCAAGAGACTACACTGTCTGTTAACCCAACATAGTTTCTGCCCGACTATGATGATACTGATGAAGGAGGTGTGCCCCTGAAATGCATCAATCTTAGCTGACTGCGGCCGGTGGACAGTGATGTGACCGGAGGCAGCTGTGGTACATAGTCGGGGCGATACCATGTTGGGTTAACAGACATTGTGGTCACTTGCTTGTTGTTAAAGCGTGATGAAAACGTTTGCTTGTGAGTACATATATCCCTTGTTTTATCTATTTTAATAAACAATTTTACACACGGAGGTGGCTCTCTTTTCCCTTTTGGCTTTTGTGGTGGAAGCTCCAGAGCCTTTAATGAGCAGCCCCTCATGTTTGTGTGAAAATCTGTGAAAAACTTTGATTATTCAACAGCGAGTGGATTGTTCAGATGGCAGCCATTAGCGCCAAGAGTAAATGAAAACGTTTTGGGTTCACACCTTTCAATGCAGGTCTTCCACCTTTGTTACATACAACAATCAACCATCATGTATAAAAAAATGAGCAAAACACATCAACGTGAAGAGCTCCATTTAAAACAATGACTAACCTGTATCCATTCATTGATGTAGGTGTGCAGCTAACAACCCGACACTATATTGTTCTACAATTGATGTAGGTTATTCTTTATTGGTGGGATTCTTTCTTTATTTTAATTAGAGATGTTGAAAAGGTGGCACAAACATTCTCATAACTGAGTTAGTTCAAAATCAAAATCTGTTTTATTTCCAGTTACAGAAGTGAAGAGTTGCTTTTCAATCTTGATGATTTTAATCACTAAGTAACCTTTTTTAGGATGAAGTTATGAAGAAATAACCATGAGCCTGTTGTTTCATGTTAATGGGTTTAGGTGCCTCAAGATCTGTTCCTAGGTGAACCTTGTTGGTAAAAAAGATGAAGATAAATTCATACTCGGCAGTATTAGAAAGATCATTGGTGAGCTGATGAAGACTGGCAGCTCATCCCTTCAGTAAGGAACTGATAATTTATACAAGTTCTGGTACTGACTGATGTGGAACAGTTTAGAAGAACGTCAGCTTCACCTCACCTGGTCAGATGGATAACCAAACACTCATCAAGGACTTTCAGATTGTTGCATTTTCAGATTCACCTAAACTTCATCATGTATTTTTCTCTGTCTTTGCCTTGGTCTATCTGGTTGGGCTATTGGGGAACATCCTCCTAATTACCTGTGTGGTCACTGATGTCCACTTACATGTTCCATTGTACATCTTCCTTAGCAATCTGTCTTCAGTAGATGTCCTTCTCACATCCTCCACTCTCCCCAAACTGATGGATATTTTGTTGTCTGGGAATAATCTAATATCATTCATTGGATGCTTCACACAATTGTTCTTCTATTTGTTTGCAGCCGCTACAGAGGACATTTTGTTGTCCTGTATGGCATACGATCGGTACGTGGCTGTCTGTAAGCCTTTACACTACCAACTGATTATGAATAAGACCAAATATGTTCTTCTAATACTAAGTACTTGGATGTTGGCGTCTGTCAATGCCTTATTTTTCACATTGTCCATATATCAGATGAATGTATGCAATTCTAACAAAATCCAGCACTTCTTCTGTGACATAAAAGCCTTTGACAGAATCGCGTGTTCCCACAATAGGTTTCGTATCATAATTTACTTTGAGATTGTTGTGCTTGGGCTCTTCCCGTTTATGCTCAGTCTATCATCCTATGTGAAAATCATTCTGATTATCACCAAAATTCAAACCATGAATGGAAGATGGAAAGCCTTCTCCACCTGCTCATCTCATCTGACCATCCTTGTTACATTCTATGGAGCCGGTACATGTATGTATGTGGTGCCTCCATCAGGGGACTTTGAGAAGAAGGACTTGATCTTCTCTGTTATGTACACCGCAGTGACTCCCATGTTAAATCCTCTGATTTATAGCTTAAGGAATACAGAGGTGAAGCAGGCAGTGATAAAGATGTTTAAATAGTTTTGATCTAGAAAACATTGTACATTTTAAATAGAGGAAGTTCTATATTTGTGCTGTAATCACACTGGCCAGGATTTTTTAGTTTGTCATGTATATAACATCTGGTGTTGGCAAGGTCTGGAATCAACTTAAAGAAGTGCGTGCTACATGAGTTTGTGGCAAATTTAAAGCATTGAAAAAGTCGAGCTGTCCTAAGATCATTCTCTGCAATTTTCCAGAGCTGTTTTTCTTCTCTGAATTTCCTTTCAGGGCACCAACCTCCAAGCGACCTTCTAAGTGGACTTCTTGAGTAAGCTTGAGTCCTTCAAGAGGATGTGTCAATGGGCAAATGCAGCACACCTTCAGTGCCATTTATACGGTGTCCATTTAAAGGGCATACACCAGGTTCTTTCATTCTCCCCCTTTAATTGGCAGTCAGGAATCCAGCAAAATATAGCTGATCCCATTAATAATCTACCAAACCACAGTCACACTTGTCAGGAGTCAAGTCACATGTTGTCAGGGCCTATGTCAGGGCCTTACTAGTATTTAAGAATTTTAGGATCTCAGCTGCGGAACTAGTTCTACTTGAGGGTATGAAGGGGTGATTCAGTGGACGGTCCCCCAGTACACCTAGTGCGGTAGGGAACCGGAACACATCATATACCCCGGCGTATGGTGTGGCAAAGTGTACGGGTGCCGAGATGGACAGCCGTACAGCAGGATCAGGAGATAGAAGGCAGTATAGGCTATGATTCATTAGCTGATGGGATTTGTAGTTCCCAAGCAGATATACCCTAAGGCAGTGGCACACAAATGGGGATCTCCACTCAGAATTAGTGAAGTAGCTGCCAAAGTATGGGAGAGAGGTCCCTAAGTACTTGCGTCTTTGATATGTTGTTATACCAGCTACAGACTATAAGCTTATAGTGACATCTTCTATGATTCCTTCCACAATTGTGAGCAACTATATAGGTACAGTCCTTCCACAATACTAAGCAACTATATAGGTACAGTCCTTTCACAATACTAAGCAACTATATAGGTACAGTCCTTTCACAATACTAAGCAACTATATAGGTACAGTCCTTTCACAATAGTGAGCAATTATATAGGTACAGTCCTTCCACAATACTAAGCAACTATATAGGTGCAGTCCTTTCACAATAGTGACAGTAGCTAAAGTTATAGTAAACGGTTAAGGTTTCCACAATAGAGGAAATTCAATGAGAGTATGTAGCCACTAAGGCATGGGGAGGTATCCCCTGGTTACTTGCGGTTCTGGCGTGGATGACTAGCGATGGCTACTTCTGTTGATGTGAGTGTTATGAGCCCACTGCTGCCGAAGCTGTGCTGCCGTGTCCCTAGGCGTCAACTGCGGGCAGAGGCTCCTGTAAGACAGGCTGCTATGGCCGATGCGGTACACAGGGTCCTCGCTCGACGTTCCACAACAATAGAGCGCCGAGTGAGTGACTCACCTGTGAATTTGAGGAGGAGTTGCGGTCAGTGGGAGGAGCCCGGCGTGACGTCACAGAGGGGACCGCGCGCCGCTGGAACGAAGGGACGCGCTGGATGAGTCTGTGACACATGTCAAAGTTGGGTGTCAGAGTTGGCAGTCACAGTCAGTTGTCAAAATTGGTTGTCAGTTGTCAGAGCCAGGAGTCAGTCGGTTGTCAGAGTCAGTTGTCATAGTCAAGAGTCAGAGTCCATTGTCTGAAGCGGTTGTCAGGGTAGGTTGTCATAGTCAAGGAGCCAGAGTCAGTTGTGAAAATAGTTTTTCAGATCTTGGAGTCAGAGTTGGTCGTCAGAGTCAGGTGTCAAAGTCGGTTGTCAGAGCCGGTTGTCAGTGTAAGGAGTCAGTTGTAATAATTGGTTTTCAGAGTCAGGTGTTGTCACGTACCAGAGTGGAGACTGATAGTTGAGGAGGCTTCTCTTGCAGCTCATGTCCCTCAACCCTGAGGATGGGAACAGAGGAGGAGTGACAGCGAGCTGCACGAGTGCCAAGGATGTGGTAGACACTTGTGACAAGTAGAAAGTCCAGGATCTGGAACGGAGGCAGGTCAGACAGAGCTGAGGCCAAGCTGTGCGGGCAGCAGGGTACTTGAAGCAGAAGACAGGAGCGACATTCAAATGGAACCCAAGGGTCAAATCCAGCCGAGCAGCAAAGTACCGAAACAGGAAGCAGAAGGAAGTCCAATGAACAGGCCGAGGTCAGGAGGCAGGCATCAATCAAGAGTGGTCAAAGGCAATCCGGGTCAAACACAGAAAGCAAGTCAACAAGGCAGAAGCAAGGAACACAGGGAACTGGCTGAAGATCATCCAGCAACTAAGGATATGGCAGGCTGGTTCATATAGGCCAATCCATTAGCAGGAGAAGTGTCACTTCCTGTGCGCCTTACATGCGCACGTTTTCGTGCGGAAGTCAGTTGCACGCGGATGCGCATTAGCACGCGGTTTCCAGTTACTTGGAAAACGGGGTCATGCACCTGCACAGAGGTGCTTGGTGTTTTACAGGTGTAAAGGTCAGTTGTCAGAGTTGGTAGTAATAGTTGGGGGTTAAGAGTCAGTTGTCAAAATGAGTTGGTTGTCAGAGTCAAACAATGAGAGCCAGGTGTCGGAGTCAGGAGTCATAAAGATCTATTAAATATGATGAGACATTTCAAAAGGAAACTTGAAACAGAACATAAGGAGCAAGGAGAGGGGACAGAGTTTAAAACGCATCTAGCAACTCTGACACCTGACTGGTGACCCTGACACCTGACCTATGACAGGTTTTCTGTGGTTTGGTGGATTGTTAATGGGATCAGCTATAGTTGGCTAGATTCCTGACTGCCAATTAAAGGTGGAGCATGAAATAACCTGGGGTATGCCCTTCAAATGGACAGAGTATAAATGCCTCTGAAGGTGTGCTGCATTTGCCCATTGACTCAAACTCTCAAGCTCCATTAACTCAAGCTCTTATAAAGGATACAAGCTTACTCATGAAGACTAATTGGAAGGTTGCCTGGAGGTTGGTGCCATTGAAGGAAATTTAGGGATGTAAAACATCAGATCGAATGATGACCTTGAAGGAAGTTGAGCTATGTCCTAAAACAGACACCTGACATTTAGCTTGCATTTAATTTTAAGATGCTTCCGAGTTCCACCCGTGTGCCTTCATAGTTGTATCTAACCTGCAGTTGACTACCTTCCGTCGCATTACTTTTACATTTCCATTGACTTGGTGGAGTTATATGGAGAAAAAAGTGAACAAAAGCCAGTATACACAGATGCTACATTGACGTCTGCCTGTAGAATCTCGGTAGATTTACTCAGTTTAGTTTTACCGACAATGGCCAACTTATATGCAATCAGGTAAGCGCTTACACCACAGAGCGGATGGTAGGTCAAGAGATTGTACAACCAGATTGTGTGGCCAAGTTGGATCCAACCCCTGTGAGATTCCCAGATTGGTCTGTCTATCTCCCAATAGAAATAAAGTAATTTAAAATAAAACCAGGAATTGTATTCTGCATAATATCATTTTGTGTATGAACCACGTGTAGTTGTTGAAATACAAGATTTTCATTGGTCCATTACCCCGGGATGATGGTCATGAAGAGCAGTAGAATGAATAAAATACACTGAATACCGAGCTGAGAGCTGTCTCTGTAGTCACCACTTACTGGACTTAAAGGAAAAGTATGGGCAGAGTAAAGTAATCTCTACCTTAGGCCTAGAGCTGGCATGGGACAAAGATGTCCTCACTCCGACCCCAACTTGAACTGAGATAGATGGAGCTTGCACATCCACACAACAAAGAGTACACAAATGTCCACCGGCTATCACCTTTTGGCTCAAGGACCACTGGACGGGATAGGTGGGAGATGTTGCGGTATGGTTAAACCAGTGTCATTTCATATTTAGCATGTTAAAACACATTAAAATGATCACAACCAAAATGTATTCTTCCATCTGAGAACATCAGTGGCTTCTAGTGTATAGAGAAAATTGATGATCCCTGCTGAATCACACTGTGAAGCCTAACATTTCGCTTAATGAACATATAAATTGTGCTTTATACGTAAGTCTGCATTTATACAATACACAATTATATGGTGGAAACATCATATATACACATAATACATATATAATGAGCTGTATGGATAAGCAACATGTGAAAAGTCTAGCTTTTTGTGTCGACATTAACTAGAGTTCATGTAGGATATATAACTTTGTGTCGAGGTTAACTAGAGTTCATGTGGGATATATAACTGTGTCGAGGTTAACCAGAGTTCACGTAGGATATTTAACTTTGTGTCAAGGTTAACTAGAGTTCACGTAGTTACATAGTTACATAGTATTTGAGGTTGAATAAAGACATTAGTCCATCAAGTCCAACCTATTAGGATCTCATTCTAGGAGTATTCCTTTATTATGCCCTCTAGCATTTTACAAACTACCGATGTATATAGGATATTTAACTTTGTGTCATAGGTTAACTAGAATTTACATAGGATATTTAACTTTGGGCCAAGATTAACTAGTGCTTATGTAGGATATTTCACTTTGTGTCAAGGTTTTTATATAGAGTTCACATAGAATATTTACCTTTGTGTCAACTTCATGTTGAACACCTAGCTTTGCAGGTGGAAGTTAACTAGAATTCATGTAGAACACTTAGGTCTAATGGGTTGAGGTAACACGAGTTTAAGCATAAAATCATAAATATGTTTTTTTACCTTGTTTAATGAACAGCTGTCCTCTTATCTTGATATGAGGGACCTTGGTTTAATGAGAAATAGGTTCAGAGCCAAGACAGCTATCCTCGGTTGGGTCACGACCCATCAGTTGAGAACCAAGGATGTAGGATATATAACTTTGTGTTGAGGTTAACTAGAATGTAGAATATTTAACTTTTTATCAGGGTTAACTATAGTACAGGTAGCACATTTACCTTTGTAGGTTGCAGTTAACTAGATTTCATGTAGAACATTTAGGTCAAGTTTAAACATAAAATCAATAAACATTGTTTCTTGACC